TTTTGACGACCGCAGGAGGGGCGGCAGTGCCCACCCGAGCGACGGGGATGTCGTTGAAGGTGTTGTCGCCGTTGGTCGACTCGCGCAGGTCAAAGTCATACTCGGGCGAACCGTTGCGCAGGCGTTGAAGATCCGCAACCAGTCGCAACACTGAAGCCTGCTTTGGTACAAAATCAGGCAGGGACGGAGGCGAAGGGTAAAAAAGATATGATGCAAATGACTGGTTCAAGTCAGTATATTTAAGGGTAATAGGCACTGCTTTTGAAAACCCTAGAGGATATCCGAGGAATAGACGCGTAGACTGAAAACGCATTTTAGTACATAAGGGCTTTCGTGCGAAGGGAAGGGGGGACAGGATGTTGACCAAGAAAGGGCAGTCAAAATCGATCAGGAGCACCATTGCGTCGGGTGACAGTGGGGGATTGTGCGTGAATGAATCACGTCGACGAAAACTTCGGCATCGTCTGTCTCTTTGCTTCTTTCTGCACCAAAGCACGGCCAGAACACCTGAACTTGGACTGCGGTACAGTACTTGACTTCGCCAACCGTTCCAACAACGTCTCTTAGGATGCTGTAATATTCTGAAACTGTGTCCGCTTTTTTTGCAGGGAGGAAAATTCCCACAGGATCAACCTCACTGCCTCCCAATTCCTTAATTTTCAATTGCGGTCAGGCTGAGTCATGGGCTCGGGCACAGTGGCTGACTCCATATAAATCTCCCTATACGCATACCACGCATGTACCGGTCCTAAAGCAAAACATTCACTCGGTTGATCGTCCCACTTATGATAACTGATACGGAGAAGAAATGGCATGGGCACCGGAGGGACAGGAACGCCACCCATAGTGTAAAATGTGGTATTTCGCTAATTTTCAGGAAGGGTACATATTTCCGTTTCCTAACCTCAATATTAGTTGTAATCCTCCCCGCAAACTTACGTCGACAGATATCCTGACCTTGACCCTAATCCTAATCTCCCTGGAATTTAGCGCAAGGCTACTTATAGTACGGTGGAGGGTTCACATTTTCGTGTCTTGTCAACAGTCCCAACAACGTATCTTAGGACACCATAATATTCTGAAACTGTGTCCGATTTTTGCAACGAGGAAAATGCGCGCTGGATCAACCTAGCTCACTAATAATTCCTTCATTTTGGGTCGTAGCCAGGCTGAGTTATGAACTTGGGCACAATGGCTGACTCCACATAAATCTTCTACGCGCGCCACGCATGTACCAGTCCCTAAAGCCAAAACTTCACTCACTCGACCGTCTCTCCGAGGATAATTGAGACAGAGAATAAACGGCGTGGCCCCAGGATGGGACAGGGCGGAGGGGGGGGGGGTAAAGGAACATTAACGTCATGTATTAAATGTGGTATCGCGCTAAATTTCCGGAAGAGAACATATTCATGTTTCCTAACGATGATCTTAGTCATAAGCGTCTCCGCAAACATAACTTGGCCCTAACTCTAATCCCCCTGGGATCTAACGCAAGACCACTTACACTACGTGGCGATCCTAATTTTCCGTACTGTCGGAGACAGGAAGGGTGGATGGAATACTATAAACAGTTTCTATCATGAAATCTTGATACAAATTGAGAGAGAGAGATAGAGGGAGTGAACTAACATGAAGCTGGTCCTTGGCGGTCCACTCCTTGTCGGCCATCTTGTTCAAGTCCACCAGACGGTTCTCCCATCCCGTAAGGCGTTGTTGGAGTTCGGCTGCACGCTGCCTTTCCTGGTGAACCTCAGCCTCGAGGGCAGACGTCTGTGAATAAATGCACAAAACCACAATAAAGATGATGGTAAGGGTTGCTTCAAATTCCCTTGCTAAGAGGTCGCCAAACATGACCTATTTGAATATCTCATACCTTTTAACTAATCTTAGCGATTGAAAAGTCGTGTTGGCAAGCAGCAGTTTTCGGTCATTCACTTCAGGCCTTTACAGTGACATGGAAAATAGGCGACT